GGAATTTCCTAGCTGGGGCTGGGAAACAACAGAATTTTAGGTGATTTGCGGAGCTGCTATCTCAGCTTAGCGGAGCTTCTGGTAGCGGGGAGCCGCCACGGCTTTTGGCAACTCTGATGGTCCAAAACGCAGATCAACTTTGTTTGCATGAACGGATGCAAGCAAAACAGATAACCGTAACAAAGTCACGGCTGATCTTCCAACATCCTTCACTATGTTCATGCAGAAGCTTGTTCGTACTGCAGAACGTAGATAGAAAATGCCCAGGTTTCAGTTGTTCCAGACTGCAGATCTCCTATTTATGCGACAATCCCGAAAGTGCCTGCAGAACAATGTGCCGCTCAAAGTAGCAGGTTCATGGATGAACGCTCCGACATATATAGTTTGAAAAAGCTGGGCTAACTCGCCTCCTCGTTGATCTTGCGATGGATCGCAAAGAAAAGTGCTTCACAACAGTTCAACTAACAGTGAGACAGGGTCCAGCAAAAGTGCAGTTTCTGTATGTAGGAGCATTGGTTTGTCATGGCTGTGCTTGCTTGCCATTCATAATGGCCGCAGCCCTCTCAAGATCATTTAGGAGCCGGTCTCTCTATTTCTCTCTTTCGGCATCCCTCGGCCATCATGTCCTGCTTGCAGAGCCCATTGCCAAACTAAACAGAATGCCCTTGCAGACTTGTTCTTGTTCTTGTGCAAAAAGCTTCGTATTTTATGCTTGGAACACTGCGACAGGTTTTGATCCGATCCGGGAAGCTGCGTGCAGGGCCGACAATGTTGCGATGGGCCAGGCAATCCTTTTGTTGTGGAATGGTCCCTTGCCGGCAACAAGATGAGGAAGTGGTGTTGTGTGGTCCTCATGGGCAGAGTTTAGGACTCTGCATGTCAACCTTGAATCTGAGGCCGCAAGCACTCAGTTTTTGAGGCAGCCTTGCACGGAGGCTTTTTGGATCCATGGAGATTTTGCTGTGAGTTCCTGATAAATCAGGATGTAACAGCGGGCCATCCCTGTGCAAACTTTGCTAAGGCTGTAAGAAATCTGGACATTTTGAATGCAGTTCAGGCGCAACTTGCATTGAAGATATTGATGGGTTTGACCAGGAAGTTGTTAAACAAGTCTCGAACCTGGACTGGCGAGTCGTAGGGTTTTCTTAAGGATATAAGATTCAGGTTTTTCTTGGTGACAGACTTTTTCTTGGGTTTTTCTTGTTGGGTTTTCTTGGGGGTGCTATGGTACGGTGGCTTGTTGCAGCTATTCCACCTTGGAATGCCTGCATGAGATACCTAGCCAGCCAACATGGCAATTGCTATTGCTTGGCATCCCTGCATGCATGGGATATCTTCCCAGTGTGCTAGTGCTTGCAATGATTGCATGAGATGTCTAACCAAGGAGTTTGGAGACTGCTATTGCTCGGGATCCCTGCGTGGGATCCTATTAGGCTATTTGGAGACTGCTCCTTGAACCTGTGCCTGCATTGCGTGCAATGTAGGCACAAGTTTGGAGACATGCGTTCAGGCCCAAAAAAATATACATATACCTATACACATATACTTTTATATTTGTATATACATTTGAATGTGCATAATATGTTAAGTTGAAATTTACATTTATCTATGTCTAGATGTATACATATATGAAATTATATATATATGCATGTACATGCAGGTGTTTTTTTAAAATCACTATTCCTCAATCAGATCCTCGCTAGTATTGTTTTGCTCAAAGCGTGGAAACTCCCTCGCTTGGCCAACGTTGCCTTGGTGGTGCAGGGCTGATTTTTTTGCCATCGAGCATTGCTAGTATTGTCCTTGCAATGCTGTGGATTTCTTTTCATTGCTGCACGCATGTTCATTGCCCATGTCTGAGCAGCTGTTTGGCCAACCATGTCACCTGGTGAGAAAGACCCGAAACGTCTGACTCTGAGAATGAGAGACTTGTAGGAATGAGTAAGTATGGAACTTCAAACTCTCAAATCCTGTTTCTTCCATAACATGATGGAAAGGTGGCATAAACCCAATTCCTAGCACAGTTAACCTAAGCTTGAAACGCTTTCCCTCACTGGCAAACAAATGTTTAAGCAAACTGTTCCTCTGAACACAAATGGCGTTTTTAAGCTAATTTTGCCTGGAACCACAAAGCAGCGCAGCCAAACATTGAAAACTTCAAGGGCAAGAAACCTGTGCCTGCTTGTGGCTGAAACAAGCAATTCTTTGCCAAGCTTGCCACTACAGATCTCAAAAGCGCACTAAAACAACCATGCACGAAAGCGCACGAAAGCGCACGAAATGCACGAAATTTGGCCCGGCACAGGCTCGAATAGAACTTAGCAAAAACCATGCAAAAGGCTATGCGCACAACAAAACATTCAAGCGTTTGTGAGCCATCCAACGCTAAATTTGAAGATTGAACATAGGAAAAACCTCTAATTTTTTCGCACGCGATGGAGCCAGAATCAGCTCACGAAAGCGCACGAAGGCGCACGAAAGCGCACGAAATTGAAAGGGTTCAAATCAGTCAATTTTGCAATTTTTTATCAAAAACCAACCCTTTCCCTTTAAAGGAATTAATCTTGTGTTTATATCCATTGGCTGTGTCCACATTCTCATTGATGTAGAAAGAAAACCAAAAGCGGTATCAAAGTGCCACATTGAAATTGCTCCACAACGAATTCCCTGCAGTCCAGCTCATCGCAAAGGAAGCCCAAAGATTCTGCAGAGAGCATTCATCATAACAAATTCCAGGCACATTGCGCATGCAAAACAAAAATAGCCACATCCAGCTCCATGTTGTCCGCAGTCTCCACTTCAGCGCCATTCGAATTCACGCATCGCCCCCCTTACCGGTGTCAACCCGGTTGGTGAAGGGAAACAATTTCAGCTGTCCCTTGCCAATCTTCAGGGCACAAACGACACCTTTGCCTGGTTTGCTTCGAATCGGAAGCCCATGTGGAGCGCAGCTACAGCTACCACTGTTCATGGTAGCTGCCCTCAACTCCACTGCCACCTTCCCCTTCACGTAGGAGACTATGGAGTCTTTGTGCTCCACACAAAGTTCTCCAAGTACTGTGGCAAGGCCTTGGGCTGGTACTTCGTCCACTGGCCTTTCAAGAAGCTGGAAGCGTCCACCTTCACAACCTTGTCTCCACCTTTGGCATCATGGGTCAAAGCAGAAGAGCCAGATTCAGATGACGATGTTGGCGCAAAGGACCTCTATGATGAGCCAGTGCACATGAGGGAGATCGGAGACCGTGACGGGTTCGGCAAGTTCTGTATCGGTATCGATGGCGTCGATGTCACGGACGGTGGCCCGACAACCAAGGATCAAATCCATGAGATCGTGCGGGAGGCAATCATGGAAAGCGGGGGCGATGAATGGACAACCCAGGATTTCTACGACGCCTACCCCGAGACAAATGTCGCCAAGGTCAACACCTACAGACGTGTAGAGTATCCACTGGAGGGAAAGTTCCGCATCATCCCGACGAATGGGGCAACGTTCCACTACGGCAGATTCAACTTTGGTGGTGCTACATACATGAGGGACTACATAGCATGGCTTTCCGGTTATGAGATGACGGTGAGCAGAGCATTGAACACCGGACTACGACATCATGCTGGGAAGATCAGTAGCCACAACCAAGCATTCGCCCTGAAGTGCGATGACGCCGGTTGGATCGACATTGTCGAAGTCTTGAGCTACCCGTTACCCATTCTTCTGGACGCAGAACCACATCCAAGAAGTTCCTTCATTGTACTCAACGAATCGGAACGGAGACAAGGTCATGAACACGGTGCGTAAGATCAGTGAGAAGTGTACTCGCATTTTTGACCACTCAATCACATGATCCACATCCTCAAGTACTACAAGTTCTACTGGAAACATCGGGTAATGAGAATGGAAGACTTGACCTCGACGGAGTCTGTCCGTACCACTGCGATGAAGAGGACAACCTGATCCCTCCAACGGAGAGAATGATCAAGGAATGGTGGACAAGTAAGGCGAAGTCCGGCAAAGGCGAATCGAGAACACTAAGCTGGGCAAGCCGTTAACTTGAATCAATGCCGATGATCATCCGCACGGCAATCAAGATCGAGAAGATGATGGAATTCATGGTGGAAGCTGGTTTTCACCCACGAGACCTCCATTTGCTGCAGACGTCGACACGAACCAGCACCATCATCATCCTCATCGTATCGAGATCGTGAATGGCACAAGAAGCAGAGGAAATGAAAGTGCTATATCAGAAGAGGGCATTTCCGTTTGCAAAACTATGAAGTCATTTTGACTGCATATGACATGGTGATAATCAGGAAGATGACATCACCCTAAACGCCAACTTCTGAGAGGAATCTGAGCGAGGCATTTTTCCTAGTCCCGGCTACGGTAAATGGGGACTCACTATGTCTCCCCTCTCAGTTCCACATCAAGCATTTAATTAATTTTCTGTTGTTAGCTTCATAGTGTGTACAGAGTGTGTAGGGAACGGTAGGTTTCCAGGAATGGCGAAGCCCGACCTTAAGTCTGTGTCGCAGTCTTGTGAAGGGTGAGCCAATGCTTCATCAGCGCACTCTCGCTGCGTACAGGCTGGCTGGATAGTTGTCTTCTTTATCATTCCTTCCTGCTGTGGCCGACAATCGGTGAACGCATATCGGCCATGGGGGGCGTCAAAGGAATGTAGGCGAAGCGTCTAGGTAGCATCTAGATACAACATACAGCATGCTTTGACCTTGTGAGCCTAACGCAACGTTGGCTCAAGACGCTGCCGATCGTATGGAAAAGTACATGGCGCGGCTGCTGCGCTGAACGCCGACTGGTTGGGCTTGCGCTCTGGGGAATTACCATATCATAGAGTTATCAGTTAATACCCAGAACAGGGGTCATTCTGTCCGCATATGGTATGCACATGTAATATAACATACATACATATATATATATGTGGTGTATATATATATATATATATTATCCCATTATATCCCCATATCCCCATGATATCCCAATGAGCCAGGCAAGGCCCCTTCGTTGCATCCCTCCGTGGCCACTTCCATCGGCCTCTCCGAGCGGCTGGGCCAAAAATCTTCGATCAATGGCGGGCACAAATTTTCCAGAGATTCAAAGCGGGTGTTTAATGGATCTTTATGAATTTGATGAGGGATTTGTGATGAAATATGGGATTTACAGACGATCTGAAGAAGGATTTGTGAGAGTTTTCCAACGGATTTGTGGGGGATTTAAGATAGGGGATATATGGGATTCATGGTTGTACCAACAACAATCAAGGTATTTTTTTGAGCCATGTTTGGGGAAAATCCGGATTTTACCTCTTTATCTATATAGCCTTTCCCTCCTTGTATCTGGGAGCAACCCTGACAATTGGGACGTTTTTTGGGGATATTTCGGTGGAATGTTTCATGAGATAATGCAACTTATAGCACGGAATTGGACTGACAAATTCTTGGGGGTTATAACTGGGGAAATGACGATAAGTGGAAGATTTCATCAACAAAGTTGTGCGAGTGTAAAGCTAACCATGTTTGGAAAAATAGTGAGCCCAAAATTATATTGTAGTTTAAAATAAAGAGACAACCATTACAGTGTGGGATCCAGAACAGGGGTATCTACCCAACGATAATGACCAATACTGTTTGGAATGTCATACCGGGTATAAAAACGGCTTTTCTATGGTGGTATCTCATTGGCATATGGGAATAGAATGGGTAACTATAACAGCGTAGCTTCGCCAAGTTATCATCCAAGTTTCATGGGTTCATCTCCGATTACTCTGAGCGGTTTGAGCATGAGCACCAGATCAAAATCACCAACCTATCCGTTATCCATTATTCTGGGCAAATTAGAACGACCTCACTGCGACCTCACTGGCTTAAAGGTTAGTAAGGGGAATCAGCCCAAAATAGCCTTAGTTCAGATTAGTGAATTGTTACAATTTACCCAGGTTATTGGCGATATCCATCATCCAGGTATTCAATCCATTATCCACGAAATCTATGAAGATCATTGACTTTGCAGAGCTGGATGAAAAGGTGGCTCGAAACACCAAGAACTCTCCGCTGCTGATGGTTCTGTCCAAACTATCCACCCCTTTTTGCAACCTCTTTTGCGCACTCTCCATTGGTGATATCCCAATGTTCAGAGTCAAAAGTTGGAATGACTAGATTAAGACTAGATTAAGCCATGAATAAAGATAGAAACCCAATGAAAAACCAAATTTCCCCATCAAAACCTGTGGTTTTCGAAGTCTTGGAACCGCCAGATTTGTGAGGTCTACGCTGGGGGCTGGAGATGACACGGCCTATTGGGATTTTCAACACCGCAAGGTTTCCTGAGTCATGGGGGTACCCCCTGTCATCGTCCATCTAAAAAAGGATTGTCCACTAAAAAAAGATACTTAAGTATATATCAGTTGTCAATATAACAATATATTTCAGTACTAAATGTATAGCACATTTAAATGGGATTTCCCATGTATGGAAACTTCCATATTATATGATATACATTTAGTACTGTGATACATCGAGATATTGTCATTTCTGAAGTTGTCAATATGATATGATATAAGATGATAAAATCATATACTGGGTCAACCACGTTTTCGCTTGAGCATCTCCACTTTCAGGGGATTTTCGGAAGCTTTGATTGCTGGAGGGTACGGAAATGATCCAGGAAGGCTGATGGTTTAATGGAGCACCCCATGTTTGAGACAAATGCATGAGGCAAACCAGAGGGGTGCCACTTAAAGGCTTGGGAACAACCAGAAGAATAGATCAACCTTGGTTTTTCGGTGATGTTTATCACCTACAAGAAACCCAGGCGTGGCTGATGTTGCGAAGGGCGTAGCAGAAAATGGGATGTGAAGATGTTCCCATTCAATTGTATGCAACATCAACTTACAGAAACAGTACTTTATCAAACTGAACCTCTGCAGGTTGTGTATTCCATGTGTGTCCAACCCTGCGGCATTGGAATTACATCACATCCATTTCTTCAGCGTATAACTTGCGGTGACCGGGGCACCGGACTCCACGGCCAGGTGGAGAAGAAGGACTTGGGTCACAAGTGCTTCGAATGCAAAGAGACGTTCAAAGCGCCAGGGCTCCAAGCGTTCCACGGCGTTCGGGAAGTGGGCGAGATGTCCCCAGTTCGATGAATGGTCCCTAGCCAGTTCTATGGATCTGCGGTGGAAAGCCTCAAATCCTGCGGACTGTCTCGCAGCAAAAGGGCTGTGGGTAACCCACAAAACAGCAATACATCCAACTATAGCAACACCCTCTGCGACCAGTGCGACACTAAGCCACAAAACTCTTTGGACTTGTCCCCGCTGGCGCGAGGTTTCACGTACCGCTGGACGGTCACGAAAAAACCTCATTTCGATCCGGCACATTGGTCACGCAAAATCCGCACAGTTGGTCCATGGTATTGACATAAATATACATAATTATACACATATGGATGAATTTATGCATATATATATATTATATTATATATACACGACATGACACGACACACGACGCAACAGGACAGGACAGGACAGGACACTACATTTCATTGGATTAGATTAGACCACATTATATTACAATACATGACATGACAGTACATTACATAGATATAATCGAAGGATGTTTAGAAGTCAAACTTCCGACAATATGGACAGATGAAAAGCAGAGATGGGAAGAGTCAGAGAAGAGGAGAAGAAAGAAGATCAAAAAAAAGAAAGCCTCAGAAGAAAGCAGATCCAGGTGTGCAAAAAGGTAGGAAAGTCGCGAAACACCTTGTTTGTTTCCAATGATTTGTGGCTCCATAGGGTCAAAGATTCGAAAAATAGGCTCGCTAAAGCGGCGGGTGCGGAGCCATGTGGTCACATAAGAGATGAAAAGTTGCACGCCGTTGTGGCGCGAAGCACGTCTGGAAGTCAAAATGCGCAAAACACACAATGCTCGGACCGCTTTTGGAAGTTGAGATTTCGAAAAAGTGCACGCCATTGTGGCGTGAAGCACATTTCCAAGTCAAAATGCATAAAACACCTCAGTGTCGGACCACTTTTGGAAGTTGACATGTCGAAAAAGTGCACGCGGTTGTGGCGCGAAGCACATATGGAAGTCAAAATGCACAAAACACACAATGCTCGGACCACTTTTGGAAGTGGAGATGTCGAAAAAGTGCAGGCCATTGTGGCGCGAAGCACATATGGAAGTCAAAATGCACAAACTGCTTTTGGAAGTTGAGATGTCGAAAAAGTGCACGCCATTGTGGCGCGAAGCACATTTCCAAGTCAAAATGCACAAAAGACCTCAGTGTCGGACCACTTTTGGAAGTTGACATGTCGAAAAAGTGCACGCCATTGTGGCGCGAAGCACATTTCCAAGTCAAAAGTGTTCAAAAAAAGGTAACAGCATCTGCAAGAGGCCGTGTCGGTGATGACATCACACAGTGCCAGGACGATGAGGGGAGTGTTCGAAACTGTTGTAATATATAGTTTTTTATATTTCTGAAATAAATTTCGGTGCGAATCCCTTGGAAGGGTCACTTCAAAAGTGGAAAATCAGCGTTTTACCAGCACGAAACAGGAGTTTTGTTCGTCGAGGGTTTCGCCGAAAAAAACCTTTTTCCTTTCAAGCACAAAGTTGTCCGAGGTTGTTCAGGACATTGCCTTTGACGCTCTTGCGCCAGACTGCATCATACAAGTACTTACAAATTTCTTTGAAGTCTTGTTTGCAGTCTTTATGTGTATTCAACTCCGGGGGAATCGTGTTTTTAACCAATCCCAATGTCTGTCTAAAGTTTGCGCTCCGGCCAAAGAAGAACTCTTTTTCGTGGGCTTCCTCCCAAGTGCTTCACAAACTCACCACGGTTGTGCGCAAAGTTTTGCTGTTTGAGGCGTTTTTCTGGCACTTGTTGTTTGGAGGCTCCTTTCCAAGCTTTGCAACCATCAGCATAGCAAGCTGCTCTGGCTCGTAGCATGACGTATGTGTGGAAGTGCCAGAGAGAACGTGCAGCAGCGTAGCATGACGTATGTGTGGAAGTGCAAGAGAACGTGCAGCAGCGTAGCAGGACGTATGTCTGGAAGCGCAAGAGAACGTGCAGCAGCGTAGCAAGACGTATGTGTGGAAGTGCAAGAGAACGTGCAGCAGCGTTGCATGACGTATGTGTGGAAGTGCAAGAGAACGTGCAGCAGCGTAGCAAGACGTATGTGTGGAAGTGCAAGAGAACGTGCAGCAGCGTAGCATGACGTATGCGTGGAAGTGCAAGAGAACGTACTGTTTGGTTGCAGTCGCAATGAATGTTAACATCCCACCCCACCCCACCCCACCCCACCACCCACCCCCATACCCAAAATATCCACACGCGCATGGCCTCTTACTGGTGTTGACACCAAAAACTGTGACAGGTTCGGAGCACTTTTGGATGTTCAGATGTCGTTTCGCGTGGCCGGCGCAAGCAGGATAGCGCGGAAGCAGCTGCGGCGAGCAGCCACGAACACGCCTTCAGGCGAAGAAAAAGAGTAGCGTCAGGGCATGGCATGGCAGGGGGCCAAGCCAAGAACCCCACGTGGACGGCACAGGTTTGATTTGCGCAATAGATCACAATATGCATCTATGAAACGGCTGCCCGCTTGGGTGATCCCGTTCACCATGGTATTGCTAGCATTTTCAACACCAGTTGGAAAAACATCAAAACCAAGGCGACCTAGCAAACCTGAGCAAACACTTTAGTTTGTGTTTTAAGAATCGTTTTAACTATTCTAATGAGAAATTCCCATATTCCAAAGCCGAACACATTCCAGGCCAAAAAGAACGAAAAATGTTGATGATTACATTGACCGGGCTGGAGATGTAACTTGCGCAACTCTCTTTTTATCTCTTAATATGTGCCGGAAGTTCGCACATGATACCCTTTGTAAAGCCACAAGGGTTCAGCCAACTCAACTTGCAACAAGGTGGGTGATTGTTTGGGTAATGTAGTATATTTCTCTTGTGTGCTACCCTATGATAATTTCTCTCATTAAAATGTGTGGTCTACATATAAAACGATGAAGTAAACAGCCACATCCAAAACGGGACGTGAAGAGAGAAACCCACATCAGTGTTTCACCAACCAAAAAAATGACCAGTGCAAAACGCAAGAAATCCTGGGCATCTAGTATGAAAACATCGTTGGCTGGGAGTGCCATGGATATACTGTGAGAAGTAAAATCAGTGCGCTTTCGGCCCAAAAAGTCGCCATTCATTCAAACATTTTCTCACATTTTGAAATGCGATTCCATCATGGTATGCGTTTGCCTTCTCTTTTGAATATCGTGCAGGCCCTCACCAAAGCCCCAAGAATTTCCCACACATACTCGCTAAGTTCACATATCGCACAGAGAAGCATAGGTAAAGATGAAATTTGTGTTTTTTGTGTTTTTTTCGTTTTTACCCTAGCGCATTGGAATGCGATGGTATGCGTTTTTTGAACCCTCTCAGGTGAAAACTCCACTTTCGCCATATTCCAAAGAATTTGAAAATTCCAGAGTTTTTGAGGACAAATACGAAAAAAAATCACCCGAAGAGTTCGGGGACGAAAATCGGATGTAAGGTTCGTATACGATAGCGATGGTTGTACGCGATTGCTGCCCTGAAGCGCGAAGGGATCTAAGTATGTGCGGCTACCTCTGCCCATGTGTCAAGTACATCCCACACCCCTTCGTGGTGTGCGTTCGGGTTGGTGGTATGCGCTCGGGTTGGTGGTATGCGTTGCCGCGAAGGATGCACGGTGAACCAGGGGAATCCAGTAAGATTCAAACAAATCCCATAAGTTTTTTGTTCTGGGTTTTGGGGGCTGGAAAAGTTGAACCATTGCCCTGCAGTCCTCATGTATATAGACGTGATTTTGCTCCATCACAATAGGATTTTATAGGATTTTCCCCCCTGAAATAGGGTCTAAAAATTAACCAAATGGTCCAAAGGGATGACAGGTGTGAAAGCCATGGAGTAAACCGGGTATCCACTGCACCTGAGCCTTTCAAATGCCTGTTGGGATGCATGTTCTTTGTAGATACCCCTCAGAAGGTCAACACTCTTGTTCTTGACCCCTCTACAGGTATCAGCTCAAGTACTAACTGCTCAGGAGCTGTACTGTCTAGCAACCCTCAGTCCTACCTCTGACTCTCTGGAGTACGACGAAAGTAAGGTATACGATTTTTTTCCGATTGGGAAAATACGCCCTATATTATAGAGAATTACGGCTACAAATTTGCATGGCGGGAATGTTGGCCATTACATGTTTTAGCAAACTGTACCTTTTGCATAGGGTCACTTCAATCATTATTCACATCCATGAAGAACCATGCACCACACGGACGAGGACATCTGTGCACAGATGTGTACCACCTGGCATCAAGCTGTATCAACAGTCAAGAGGGTTGTTGTTTCATTTTGCGACTTTCAGTTTTTGGCGTCATACTTTTTTGAATTTCAGTTTTTGCATTTTAATGTTTTTCGTTGAGGTTTACCCCCTAAAAACTTTAGCGTTATATATTTACACACACACACATATATATATACATACTCATATATCTGCATATATACATATTCATATATACATATGTATAAACATATGTTTTTTAACCGGTAGTACCGCACAAGGCGGTGGCGGAAGTTTCAAAAATAGGAAGCCTATAGGAAGGGTTGGTTGCAGTAGCAGTAGCAGCAGCAACAGCAGTAGCAGCAGCAACAGCAGCAGCAGCAGTAGTAGTAGTAGTAGTGGCTGTTGTAGTAGTGGCTGCTGTAGTAGTTGTAGTGTAATTAGTGTAGCGTAATTAGATGTAATTAGTGTAGTGTAGTGTAATTAGTGTTGTGTAATGTAGCGTAGTATATTTGCACTTGTAGTTGTAATAGTGTAGTGGTACTTGTAGTTGCAGTTGTAGTTGTCTATCTATCTATCTATCTATGTATCTATCTATGTATCTATCTATCTATCTATCTATCCATCGATCTATCTATCCATCTATCTATCTATCTATCTATCTGTCTATCTGCAAGCTTGAAAACGAAGCTATTCTGCGAGACTTCCTCAGTTTTTGAACTTGACAACATCAAAAACGGAGCAATTCTGCGAGACTTACAACGTCAAAAACGAAACAATTCTGCGAGACTTCCTCATTTTTCGAAGTTGACAACATCAAAAACGAAGCAATTCTGCGAGATTTCCTTCAAGAATGAAAAGTTGAGTGCAGAGCTGACGGCCTCGTACCAATGCGTTTTGCGATTTTTCCATTCCACCTGTCTAAAGTATTGCGCCTGCCACGAAAAAGTGAGGCCAGGCCATACGAAGTGCTGCACCTGTCACGCAAAATCATCTTTCTAAGGAAATCAGCGCCCGGACCTCCTAACATCTCTGGTAAACATGTCTCTTGTACTGCGCCTGCCACGGAAAATGCATCTTTGCAGATCCTCCTCACATGCCCCATGCCTGCCATCGTTTTTGGAAATGCTACAAAACCCTCACGTTTTGCTCACTTATGACAAGGTGCACAATCCCTTGCGCCTGCCACACGAAACGACATCTGAACGTCAAAAAGTGGTCCGAACATGTGGTGCTTTTTTTCAAAAAATTTTGACTTGACATGTGCTTCGCGCCGCTACGGCGTGCACTTTTTCGACGCCTCAACTTCCAAAAGTTGCTGCGAACCTGGTGGGCTTTGTACAATTTGACTTCGAAATGTGCTTCGCGCCAGAACGGCATGTACTTGTTCGACATCACAACTTCCAAATGCGGTCCGAGCATTGTGTGTTTTGCACATTTTGACTTCAAAATATGCTTCGCACCACAACGGCGTGCAATTTTTCATCTCTCATCTGGCCAGCTGGCTCCGCACCGGCCGCTTTAGCGAGCCTACTTTTCGACCCTCCGGAGCCACAAATCATTAGAAAAACATTGTGTTTCGCGACTTTCCTACGCACCTGGATCTTCTTTCTTTTGAGGCTTTCTTTTTTTTTGATCTTCTTTCTTCTTCTTCTTCTGTTCTCTTCTCTGACTCTTCCCATCTCTGCTTTTCATGTGTCCATATTGTCGGAAGTTTGACTTCTAAACTTCCTTCGAACATTTATATACATATATATTTATATTTAGACGTGCTGAAAAAGCCTACAATGATTTTGTTTGAAGTGTCTTGAAGTGTCATCATGCTACGTTTCTGGCCAAATCACATGGAGAACTGTCAAGGTTCCCATCCCAGGCTGGGCGCGGCTCTCACCGAACGACGTGGCGGCCGAGTGTCAATGAGGTACATGGAGCTTGTGGTGGGAGGAACGGTGTTTTGGGAAATTGTCTTGAATGCAACGAACTCATTTCTGATATTGAGAAATATTGATTCAAAACCAGAAGACATGTCTTAGTTTATTTACTTTGGCATTTCTGTGTTTGCCAACATCCCAGTTTTCCATCGTGCCAAAACCATCAAAAACGATTGTCCAATCAATGCTGCCCAACCGCGCGGTTGCAGATACCATGGCGAATGTTTTTCTGGCTTTGCTGATCCTCGATCCCAGGCGGTGGTGCCAGTGAGATTATTATGGGTTTAATTTTGACGCCCCATATTATATATATATATATCTCTCTCTCTTTCTCTAAAGTATATACTATGTATAGACTAGTTTTTTTGTTATGGGATATTGTCCATATCTATTACGATTGCCTATATATACCGTGTTTTTCAAAAATCGATACAGATATAGATATGAATATGTGCATACACAATACATGTTTTTTCCTTACCTGTCAGGTGAGGCTTGCTAGGTTTTATGTCAGCTGTACTCCTTCTCCTCCTCGTCCTCCGCCTCTTCGTCCTCCTCCTCTGCCGGACCTCATTTGCAAGCGCTTCGCAGTGGTCCCCGCCGGACCTCAACTGCAAGCTCGTGATCGCAGTGGTCCAAGATGAGAGCGGTCCCCGTCGGACCTGAACTGCAAGCGCGAGGTTGCAGTGGTCCCTGCCGGACTTGAACAGCAAGCCCCGGATCAGAGTGGTCCCTGCCGGACCCGAACAGCAAGCTCTTGATCGCAGTGGTCCCCGCCAGGCCTGAACAGCAAGCTCTCGATCGCACTGGTCCCTGCCAGACCCGAACAGCTCAGGATCAGAACGGTCCCCGCCGAACCCAAGCGCTACATCCCAGTGGTCCCCGCCGAACCCGAACAGCAAGCCCCAGATAAAATGTCAGAATATATGTCAGATAGATTGATAGACTGTCAGAATATATCTCAGATAGAATGCCAGAATATATCTCAGATAGAATGTCTGAATATTATGTGAGATAGATAGAAAATGTCAGATAGACTGTCAGAATATTTGTCAGATAGAATGTCAGAATACATCTCAGATAGAATGCCAAATAGATTCTGAGAATAAATGTCAGATAGAATGCCACATAGACTGTCAGAATAGACGTCAGATAGAATGTCCAAATATATGTTTTGAAATGCCGTGGTGGGGATCATCCCATGTCACGCCATCTTCCAGAATTCATCCCCATATGATCCATACGACATGACATGATCACTGATTTTTTTGAACATGATCAGATTTATTATGCCCATATTACCCCCAAATGTCTAGATTATCACAAATTATCACTATGTCACTATATTATGTTCGCCAAACTTCCAGATTGTCTCATGTTTTTTGGTGCTTCCACCCATCTGCACCAGGCCCGTTCCTCACACCACGAGGGGCGGCTGGCACAGTCCCAACTGCACGCGGCACCGCAGGAGGTCACATCAAAGATGCGTCGCTTGGAGCAGCAGTCGACCAATTGGCACTGATAGAAACTTTTGGGCCAGATGTGCTCAATAAAAATTCATGAGCATACCATACGTTTCAAATAAAGATATGACATGGTATGAGTTTAGTGTGTTTTTTTATCTGTGAACTATGGCCTTTTTGCATTGGACATCTGAGTGATACATCATGATGGTATGGAAATTTGGGATGTGATGTAATATGGATAAAATGGGGATCTAATACGGGATGATATGGTATCTACTCTCAAAACTGGTATATGCAGTAGTGACTCAGTAGTGTCGCAAATGTCGTATTGAACATCATGTTTGGTGTTTTTTCCCAAACATGTGGCAGTTGTGGCATGTATTGGCAGAAATATTGCATTTACTACCATCAAACATGTTCGCTGCAACCCTGACGTTGCGCCACGTCTGACTTCAGGTGGCTATGAAGATAAAGTTGACGTTATTACCCCAATCAACATATTGTTCAGAGGGGGTGGCGAATTTTGATCCCTCATGGAGATAAAGTTGATGTTATTGCCCCAATCAACATATTGTTCATAGGGGGTGGCGAACTTTGATCCCCCATGAAGATAAAGTTAATGTTATTGCCCCAATCAACATATTGTTCATAGGGGGGGATTTTGATCCCTCGTGGAGATAAAGTTGATGTTGTTACCCCAGTCAACACATTGTTCAGAGGGGGTGGTGATTTTTAATGTGACCATGGTCATGATGTGATGATGATGATGATCATCATCATCATCATGATGATGATCATGATGATCATGACGATTGTAAGTGTGGAGCAACGTCCGGGTTGGGGCGAACATGTTGCATTTGAATGCATTTGACCATATCGGACATAGTTTATCATCTAGTTTGATGGATGTGGCAATTAACAATGTAACATGCAAAAAGCATCAATTTGACAAAACAGCAGGGGGGTCACGGGTTCAACCACCTTTGGGGGAGTTGCTCTTAAACTGATGACCCAACTTGCGACACTGGGGGCTATCGAAATAGGCCTAGCTGGTAAAATGACAATAGGGAGTATCAACACCGTCACTGTTATTGGTGGATACTATCAATGATAAGTATAGTTGTGACCATAAAATGGCATAATAATGATTGTTTCATTTCTTGTGGCAGCCAACTGGTACCCATGGTTGATCCATGCCTCGTCATGAGGCACTGCCAAACACTTCGAGCAGGTGGGAGATAGCGGACACTTCGAATGGTGTTTCCATGTTTTGATTCAAATCATTGAAAAGTGTCTTTTTAGATGGAAAAATGGAACGACGCGAAAATCCTAGTCTCCATCATCATGATCCTCTCCAAGGAAGCATTCACAGTGAACCCTGGCGAACCTGTGAAAATGTGTGCGTTTAAAACGCTGGTAGTATGATTGCTTTGGTGGGCCGCCAGTGATGAACGGCCCTGCTGGGGAATTGGAGCTATAGACTGGTGTTTTCTCGTTTTTGGGGGACATGAGTTTTTCCCACGTGCCGTCTCTAGATTTTAAATAAAGGTGCCACTGCAACTCCTTCTCCTCGCCTTCTCCTCCTCCTCTCCTGCTTCCTCGCCTGCCAGCTGCGGATGCTGTAGGCCGGGTCATATCGGGAGCGCCAGACGCTGTGGTGTGGAGAACCCTCGGACTCTCTGAGACGGCCA